AGTAGCAGTAATAATAGCAGATGTATCAGTATTTACAGTAGAAGCAGTAGCAGTAATAATAGCAGATGTATCAGTATTTACAGTAGAAGCAGTAGCAGTAATAATAGCAGGTGTATCAGTATTTACAGTAGAAGCAGTAGCAGTAATAATAGCAGATGTATCAGTATTTACAGTAGAAGCAGTGGCAGTAATAAGCAGGTGTATCGGTATTTACAGTAGAAGCAGTAGCAGTAATAATAGCAGGTGTATCAGTATTTACAGTAGAAGCAGTAGCAGTAATAATAGCAGGTGTATCAGTATTTACAGTAGAAGCAGTAGCAGTAATAATAGCAGGTGTATCAGTATTTACAGTAGAAGCAGTAGCAGTAATAATAGCAGGTGTATCAGTATTTACAGTAGAAGCAGTAGCAGTAATAATAGCAGGTGTATCAGTATTTACAGTAGAAGCAGTAGCAGTAATAATAGCAGATGTATCAGTATTTACAGCAGAAGCAGTAGCAGTAATAATAGCAGGTGTACCAGTATTTACAGCAGAAGCAGTAGCAGTAATAATAGCAGGTGTACCCAGTATTTACAGTAGAAGCGGTAGCAGTAATAATAGCAGGTGTATCAGTATTTACAGTAGAAGCAGTAGCAGTAGCAGTAATGTAGCAGGTGCATCAGTATTTACAGTAGAAGCAGTAGCAGTAATAATAGCAGATGTATCAGTATTTACAGTAGAAGCAGTAGCAGTAATAATAGCAGGTGTACCAGTATTTACAGTAGAAGCAGTAGCAGTAATAATAGCAGATGTATCAGTATTTACAGTAGAAAAGTAGCAGCAGTAATAATAGCAGGTGTAGCCAGTATTTACAGTAGAAGCAGTAGCAGTAATAATAGCAGATGTATCAGTATTTACAGTAGAAGCAGTAGCAGTAATAATAGCAGGTGTATCAGTATTTACAGTAGAAGCAGTAGCAGTAATAATAGCAGGTGTATCAGTATTTACAGTAGAAGCAGTAGCAGTAATAATAGCAGGTGTATCAGTATTTACAGTAGAAGCAGTAGCAGTAATAATAGCAGATGTACCAGTATTTACAGTAGAAGCAGTAGCAGTAATAATAGCAGATGTATCAGTATTTACAGCAGAAGAAGCATAATGTCCCGCACAGGTAGAGCTCAGATAGCAGTATTAACAGCAGAGGTAGCAGTATAACAGCAGTAGTATCAGCATCAACAGCAATGTAACAACAGCGACTGTGGAAATCGTAATGACATGGAGACTAGTTTCTAAGTGAGTTTGGGGCCATATTAGGCCTTTCTCCCTCACGGCACTATGGACTAAGTAGTCTAAATATCGACTCAATTGACATAAAAGTAATTTATAAATTGTATTATCAATTTAGACATTATAGGAATCCACGTGCAAGAGAAAGCGTGAAACACACAACACACAATTTGCCATGAGACAAACTAATGATTGCTTGATCCATTAAGAGCAGATGGTGTTGCCGAATATTGTTTCTAACCAATAAAAAACATCTGAATTAATTTTATTACTTTAATTCATAGCTATAATATTCTCTGCGTTCACAATCAACTGATTGGGGGTGATTTTTATGGGCATAGACATTCAAAAGGAACATTTGAAAGTCAGGGCTTGTTTTAGAGTGGTCACAGCAGGCTAAGCGTTTTGGCATCATTCTGTGTAACGCTCTGGTCTGCATAAAGAGTGTATACAAGCGACTTGTGTCTTTCCTTGAGGGGACGTACAAGCAGGTAGCCATTCAGTAAGTGTGATCCATGATATTTCAAGTTTGAACAGATTTGGAGGGTCGATACAGACTCATTATCGTCTACATCTGCAGCAACTACATACATCTGGACCAGCCACAATTGTCTGAAACATCATTATCATGTTATATGAAATTATACCGGGCCCCTTGGGGTTTGTTTAGCGTATATGGTTGTGTTTGTCTGTGAAACTTGAACCATCTTTAAGCACTTTAGACAGAATATCATACATTTATACGTTTTGCTTTTACACATAACTCATTGGCAATAAGGTTGAAATTCGTGTAAATGCGCCACACCCACGCTGGCTGTTGCTAATTGTTCATATAAAAGTGTGTTTGATGAAATGGCTAACTACGCGTGGGACATACAGCCAGAGATGAAAGAGTTACACGAATCAAATAACAAAACGACCCTCCTTTAAACGGTGGTATTGCACTTGATCCCCGAGCCGTGAATAGCTTTGTCAAAATCACCAGGCTTTAAAATCAATCATATCATTTGACAAATGGCAATCGTGGCGCCAATAGGAGACCTAATCTTATATTGATCATAATATATTGATAATCAGATATCGAAGATGTTCTGATATCATTTCCATTACAATACAGCTTCAATTTCATACCCCATTATGCCACATATTCGCTGAAAACGAGCAAAGAGGGCCCAGGCGACTCGCTGAGAAGGATTTGCCAACTCTGGAGCCCATTTCTCATCTCAGATCATTCACGATAGTCGCCAGACGTCATTGGGAGACGAATTTCGCGCCAAGCTGGTTCAGCGGTGCCCAATAAGTCATCCACGGGCCCGTGGGTCCGTAGGAAATTGCCTAAAGATTAATTAAGTCTCTGTTCACACCTATTTGTAAATTAGCTAATGATGTGCTTTGTAGGTAGTATGCTGTTGTACTGTGAGAATCTCCTCCACGACTGAGCGGGTCTGTCTTGTGATTGTTGACCCCGAACACGTTAAAGACCTTTCCTCTATGCCGCACTTCTCTCTTGAGACGGTGTGGAATAATAAGAATATCAAAAAGTCTCATTTGCCGATAAATTTTCTTCGGTTGAGTTACGATGAATATCCACTTTGTATTAGCTATCGTGATCCCCGAACAGGCCCTTCACGCCGTGCAAGACGACTTTCAACTTTACTAAGTAGCTATCGTATAACATCAAAGACCAAACAGAAATAACTAAATGTAGCCCCATTAAGACCATGCGTTGCTCTCCGCCAGTCTCTCCGAGATATTAACGCGGGCGATTGAGCGCCCGACTGTCACCAATCACAATATTTAGTCTGGCACCTCGACCAACAACTTGCATCATGTCAGGTGTAAGCTGAAATCGACCGCTGTCATATCTGGCATGTATTTCATGAAATTGACAAGTGAAGTAGATTGCACCTTTCTCCACTGTTTCCATCGCATTCAAGTTTTCAACATGCTCCAAGACACTTTATTCGTTGAAAGTGATGTTTCATCTTGCAGTATAACAAAAGAGTTCTGAAGAATATGTCCTATAAATTTTAAAAAATAAAACTTTAGTACATTGCACTAATAATTCTGAAAGACTTAGACCTTACACCTTTCCGCTTTTTGTGAGAATTTTTAATGAAGTTTTATTTGACATACATATGCGATAAGCTTGCTGTCTCCTCGCACGATTCCAAGTTTATTGTTCGTAGAAGGTTTTGATCCATTACGCCAACATATCTCCACTAACATGGAATAAAAAAGACCATAAAACACACATATATGTCCCAAAATATTAATTTCATCCACATTACTTAATAGATTCCCAAAGGTAGTGTTTGATGTTAACGACATGTGGTGTACTTAAACGTGTGTTTCAAGGCCCGGAGTCCTTCTTAAACACTCTGCAGTAATTTATAGTCATCGCTGTTCAGGATCAGATGTACTGGAAATAATGTTCTCTTCATTCGACACCAGTCCGTCTTTATAACACGTCAAGTAAATACTTCTGACTGAATTTATTTTGTGTCACCTTCAGAGAAGCCTATTTTCTTCGAAATCAAATGCAATGCGTGTCTGTACAATAAAAAACATGACATTTTCGTTCATTCATCAAACGTTTGAACGCTTCTCGCTGGAAAACATTCACATAAAATATTTATCTCTGTCGATCGAATAACAATATGGAATCGTTCTGTCTAATTCATGTGAGGTTTGTATGGGGTTTTCGGTGTGGTTTTCACGAATTTAATTTGCGAGAAATAGACATTCAGTAGTGACTGCTGCCCTGTAAATTAATCCGATCACATGTCAGCCAGCCCGTGTCCTTCTTATTATGTCGCTAGGTGCAATAATTAATTTGAAATAAAGTTGAATACTCGTCTTCGATTACTGAGCTAATTGGGCAGTAAATTAGTTGCGATCGCTGAAATCATCAACATTGTTGAAGGTAGAAATCGACAGACATTCATGTTTATTTCATCACGATTGACTGTATTGTGTAATGGGAGCAGTTCAAACAGACAATTGGTAATGAGACAGATTTTATTAACCAGATGTCGGAGAGTGCGAATCACATGCGTATTTCGATATCGACAAGTAATTACAAGTTTTAGCATTGGCGGAGGTCCCTTGAACAGATGCTATCATTTAAAGCTGATATCCAACAAGTCAAAGACAATTAATTCTGCCTGATAGATCATATTTTGCTTGATTGTTTCTTAACGACACATCCCAGATCGTTCAACAGTCGTAATTATCACGGTGATTTATTTACATTTCGAAAGTACGTAAGTTGATCTTGTCTTGATAACGTGTGTGGACAGATTTTGTCTTGGCGGATTATTAATAATGGGCGAAGCGATGCAACCCCATGCGCCTGCTTATCCCCTACATCCACCATCAGTTTGTCACACAATGACATTGACAAGGCCGTGAGTCAATTTACACAATATAAATTGATATGTTTTATTTTGTACAATATTTGCATCTGTGGCATAAATATTTGCATCTCCCTCCCCCTCCCTCCCTCCCTCCCTCTCTCTCTCTCTCTCTCTCTCTCTCTCTCTCTCTCTCTCTCTCTCTCTCTCTCTCTCTCTCTCTCTCTCTCTCTCTCTCTCTCTCTATTCTCTCTCTCTCTCTCTCTCTCTCTCTCTATTAGAAAGTGATTCTCTCTCTCTCAGACTCCACTTTCGGCGACATGCCAAATATGGATTCATCTCTCTCTCATAACAGAATAAAGTGTACAACGCACGAATCGCTGGTCGGTATTTTATTTACAATAAAAGTTTGTGTACAAAAACAAGATTCAATCATTTCTCATATTAGAAAGTGATTGTTTTGAAGACAGACTCCACTTTTCGGCGACATGCCAAATATGGATTCATGTAATAAATTAGTATCGGTCCGCCTGTCCAGTCAGTCTTTTGTCGTGGTGAGACTGTGGGCACCGTATCGGGATCCAGTCCAGAGTTCATGGCACGAAATATATCTTAAATGAATTGGGAAAACCACCACAGGGGAAATTAAATTCAAAGATAACTTCCCCTTAAAAGCACTTGTTTTTAACCAGAGCACTGAACCAAACAGATTAAAGGTTTATAACAATTTCCTGCTATTTAGTATTTTAACAAAAAACACCAACTGAACTAGAATTAAACATGGAGAATCATTCTGCGCTAATTCTGGTCAATACGAATACAGGCTTGTGTCCGTCATGGTCACGAAGACATAGCTGGTGGTCAAATATTGCAGAATATCTCAGGAACCGATCGATGGAGGGGGTCTTTAACATATTTCAAAGTGATTGTGCAAAAGGTACAAATAATAATTCTTTATAACTGAGTGTGGGTATTCTGCGCTTGTGTCAGTGGGGATACAGCGACAGTCCTGAGGATCCGGGGAAAAGTCCAAATCCGGAAAAAGTCCCCGGATGTAAGAAATGCGCTCTTAAATGATGTCCATATAAGGAAGCTGACGAGGCAGTGGACGATGGTATTGCTATTCCAAATGTCGGTGGCAACATTGGCTTTGCTGCCATTCGAAGTTTTTCCAACTCCGCCTCTTGGAGTCGTTTTGCTTTTGCACGTCTGTTCTGGAACCAGATTTTGACTTGAGTTTCCGTCAGATTCAGGGACGCTGAAAATTCGGCCCTCTCCGCAATGGACAGATACTGTTTTTCACGGAACTTCCGCTCCAGAGCTAACAGCTGGGACGTAGTAAAAGGTGTTCTCGGCTTCCGGTTTGGTTTGTGCTTGCGCAATGTGCATTTCGTAGGGGCCTGGATCCGCGGTGGGGTACCTGTAAAAATTAACACACATTAAGGAACACGTCCATTGTCAAATACATTGAGACGTTTAATCGGTAACTTTGTATTTGGAATATTGATTAATAATTGAAAGCTGAATTTTTTGCACCACTTTTCACATGTATGCTATGTAATACTTGTTTAATTTTCGACCTAAGTACACAGCAGGTATTCTTTTAATGACAGACCAGTGTAGTCCCATGGCGTTTTCAGATTTGGAGTGAAAGCACAATTTACTTTTCTTATGTACGTTCCCCTTTCAAACGGACTTAAACCTCTAAATGGCAAACGGATCTAATATGCCATAGGTTTAACACAACACAAAATTAATACACATAATTATTTTGAAAATAGTATTATTATGAATATGATCACAATTACGTATCTACACGTATCTACATGTGAATGTGCATTCTTCAATGCATATCGATAAATACACACCGGGAACAGTTTCCGACTAAATCATTTTGTACTTTTTGCATGTTGTATGTTTGGATTAACTTAATTTTCGAGTCTATCACTTACTTTCAAGATAACGTTTTTAGTGATCAAATAATGTGCATTACACAAACCACAGACCAACTACACAAATGTATCAAAAATCACAATTTAACAAGCAAAACAAGGCTCAGTAATACTCCCAACAGTGACTCCCCACTTCAGCTGAACAAAAATGTATAATAATTATTCTTGAAAAAATACAGTACATGTATTTGTATAACAATTACAATTACACTTTGCACAGCTCCTCTCCTATACACAAAGAAGCCATTACCCAAATCTGAAAAACAGTCACTAAATGACTATAAGGTTATTGGTTGAACAAATTTGATGAGGGATTTTTTCCCGAGTTTAAAAGATGTAATTTCTGACAATTTTCTAATCGTTTAATATACATATAGATTATAACTTTGCAGTACACTTCTCCTTTTGATATGGAGGGTGATCCCCAAATTTGAAAACAATCCATTCGTATGTGCTGGTTAATGGCTGAACAAAATTTCCCTTGAGTTTTTGAAAGTTCCAAATGTGTAAAAGAAGGTGGTCCCTAAATTTGAAAAGAATCCAACCACTGGTTTTCAAGTTGTTGGTTAAAAAGTACTGTCTTCGGACAGACGGAATTCCTTGGTATACTAGTAACTAGCTTCCCCGACCGTTTTAGATCGGGGTTGTATTTTTGTGTTTTGTTCGGGTTCAGGCCTGTTTCGCATGGCATTGGTAGTTCTGTTTCTTAAATAGTGTAATACATGATATTTTACAGTTTCGATCGGATTAACATTTCACGGGTATTCAGCTCGACTTTGACCTTTAACCTCGCTATGCTGTTAGTCTTAGGCATCTTCTCTACCCATATCCTCCGATATTGTTCTCTCTTATCGTTCCTGTGTCGGCTTATCAAACACGCGAATTTATTTTGTCTAGACATCTGTTATTTTATCACCCGACGTGTTGTGTTACCATGGAAACAATTACATTATCGTATTTACCTATCAACAAGTCATTCTTAACTACATTAACTAAACATGTATTACGGCTTCAGTCGATCGGCGTGCATTCTTTCAAAATCAACAACGAAAGTTGCGTGACACCTGTTTCGCTAATGACTGACAGCATGTAAATATCAAAAATCCATTTCACTTGTAAGTATATTGCCATGAACAGACGAGAAGTGAAGCCAGCATTATCGTTGTGATTAGTCAATGTTACAATCGTGTTTTCACAATCATCTTTTGTTTAAATGACATTTAACACTTTAAAGTTCATGGCTCACGAGAACACGATGGATATTCGAGGAAAAAATAAGCATCTATCACTCAATAAATAATATTATTTTAAAGAATATTTTTCACATCAATATGTTGTGTGTGTAATTTTTATTCATCAATGCTTTGAATAACTTCATCAAAATCTCTTTATGAACAATTTAAACAAACTGTTGACAATGGTTAGAAAACATCTGTGGCGTACCATCCATATTTTGTCAATATTGACACGTAATCAATACTCAAATTATTGACATTGGAAACGGTATGTAATTTGAAAGCGAATGGTTGACTGGCTTTAAATTATTCTGCCACGTTTTCAAGCTTTAAGCAACAAGTCAAATTGTCGGTAAATATTTAAATATACTTCTTTGAGTAAAGAATAAACATGTCGTTATCCAGAAACCACACTGCGTAGATCATGCACAAATACTGTATAATGATATACACTACACTCTTTCTTTACTGCCTCATATTAATTAAAAATATATGTTTTTATAACTCTGGTTAACTTGCACTAAATAAGGTATAAAGTACCAAGTTAACTTGTGACACATGCACTATCATGTGAAATAACAACAACGTATTGGTTTTAATTTAGAGATTTTACTCTATCGGAAAATGTCTGACGTTTCAGTTAATTGTACTCTTTGTGTTTGAACCTAAATTCAACTTAACGTGATTCATAGACAATCTTTGACTGCAAAATGTATTAAGGTTTTTCTAAAGCCTTTTCTAAACAATTTAAATTTCCAAATTTTTGGTATTTTGTGCATTTTGTTCTTTTAATTATTTTACGAAAATACATTTTTCCCACATATCAATTTAAATCAAACTCTTTTCATAATATAATTAATGCAGTTGTGAAGAACTCGTTAAAATCATTTCCATAATCATAATGCAAGGGTTATTTCGTGAAAGCCCGCAGACCCATATTGCCGAGGTGGAGCACGCGTACCTATAACGACAAACGTTATTTTTGGCGGCATATTCAATAATCGCCTTTTATCAAGCAAACTGCTCGTAGTGTGATGTGCTCGGATAAGTTAGTATAAAAGTGTTCTGCAGTTTGTAATCCCACGTAATCTAAGCCACCAACACTGTCACAATCTTCAGTACGGATTAACGTACGTCATTTGTAAACACACTTCACCCAATAACTTGATAAACATCTGCTAATGCGTTTTTAATTGTTTGATGAAGATGTATTTGTATTATTTAAGAAATATTCACAATTACCTAATGAGAGGGTATAGTAAGCCGCTCCACAACAACATTGCCGATATATAATATTCAATAAGATCGTTGTGGATGTATTGTTGATTTGTCAGTTTGCAAGGACTATCAGACATGTGTACGTGTTTTTTATATAGTAAGACATTCTGTGACAAAACGTCATATATCGTTTTCTGCGCGGTATTGGTACTGACAACACGTTACGTAACAGCACAGAGCATCCCTGCACATCTGATTGAGTGCTGAAATGTACACCGGAGCTATCCTGAAATCGACAAGGTGGCCATGTGTTGCGGTGCTTTTAACATCGCTGACAGTGATATGAGCATCAGTCTAAGTGCCCCAGTCTTGTTACACACAAGTAAATAGGAATTAATGTGTATTCATTAGACAGAGAATGGGCGAATTAGCCGATAATGAACACAGGCCATTTGACAAGGACATTTGTTTTGACTGGCGGGAGAAACAGATGTAAATATCACAATACCGTAGTTACCCTTGGAAACCGCATTTCTGTAATTACAACACCACACATACACAAAACATTGAAAACACAAACATTTCTACACCATTCTAAAGATATACCTTCAGTAGGAATTATTTATGTTTTAACATCTAGATAACCCAGATTCCATTATAAATTCTGAAAATACAAACGTTGAAATTATGAAAACTGTTGTCTGTTGTCAGTGGTAGTGTCCGTTCACAAGGTGACAGTTCTCCAAGAATCGTATAGTGTAAACTATGTCCATCATATGCCCTGAAAGTTGAACCCTTTAATATCCAAAGGTGCTTCGCGTAATCAGAAACAGTGCGGTATCAATCCCTGCAACAGTCAACCCTTCCCTCCAAAAAGAAACAGTGCGGTATCAATCCCTACTACTGTCAACCCTTCCCTCCCAACAGAAACAGTCCGATATCAAACCCTGCTACAGTCAACCCTTCCCTCCCAACAGAAACAGTGCGGTATCAATCCCTGCAACAGTCAACCCTTCCCTCCCAACAGAAACAGTGCGGTATCAATCCCTGCTACTGTCAACCCTTCCCTCCCAACAGAAACAGTGCGGTGTGAATCCCTGCTACTGTCAACCCTTCCCTCCCAACAGAAACAGTGCTGTATCAATCCCTGCTACTGTCAACCCTTCCCTGCAAACAGAAACAGTACGATATCAATCCCTGCAACAGTCAACCCCTCCCTCCAAACAGAAACAGTGCGGTATGAATCCCTGCTACTGTCAACCCTTCCCTCCAAAAAGAAACAGTGCGGTATCAATCCCTGCTACTGTCAACCCTTCCCTCCCAACAGAAACAGTCCGATATCAAACCCTGCTACAGTCAACCCTTCCCTCCCAACAGAAACAGTGCGGTATCAATCCCTGCAACAGTCAACCCTTCCCTCCCAACAGAAACAGTGCGGTATCAATCCCCTGCTACTGTCCTCCCAACAGAAACAGTGCGGTATCAATCCCTGCTTCCCTCCCAACAGAAACAGTGCGGTATCAATCAGTCAGCCCTTCCCTCCCAGCAGAAACCCTGCTACAGTCAACCCTTCCCTCCCAACAGAAACAGTGCGGTATGAATCCCTGCAACAGTCAACCCTTCCCTCCCAACAGAAACAGTGCGGTATCAATCCCTGCTACTGTCAACCCTTCCCTCCCAAAAGAAACAGTGCGGTATCAATCCCTGCAACAGTCAACAACCCCCTCCCAACAGAAACAGTGCGGTATCAATCCCTGCAACAGTCAACCCGTCCCTCCCAACAGAAACAGTGCGATATCAAACCCTGCAACAGTCAACCCTTCCCTCCCAACAGAAACAGTGCGGTATCAATCCCTGCTACTGTCAACCCTTCCCTCCCAACAGAAACAGTGCGGTATGAATCCCTTCCCTCCCAACAGAAACAGTGCGGTATCAAACCCATTGTCAACCCTTCCCTCCCAACAGAAACAGTGCGGTATCCTGCAACAGTCAACCCTTCCTCCCACAGAAACAGT